ACCAATCCTCCTTAAATTCGGCTATGGGGAACGAAAAGAGAAGAATTTCACCTGAAGGAAGGGCAAAAAGGAAGAAACATGGGAGGAGATGGGGATAAGAGCTTGAGGTCCGGTTGGTATGGTGAAAGCCATGGTTTGGAGGAAGAAAAAGTATACAAGGGAGAACGTGACAGTGAAGTTGAAAAATGAAAGGAAAATGCTTAAGGATAATGGAAAGTGAAGGTTCTAGCATTTAACATGATAAGAAGAAGAAAATAGTAAAGGTTTCTCCCTTTTTGGCTGGACATGTGGTGTAGATAGAAAGAAAATTCGAAAAGGTTTCAAGGTTATCCATGTAGTCAATTATGTAGGAAATTCTGTCTTTTTCCCTTTAATCCTTCTCCCATCCTTTTCTTCCTTTATTGTACCAAATTTTCACAACAAATCTTGCATAAGTGACTAGCCACATGGAAAAGAATAAGAGAAAGCAAAGTCAAAGCTGCCTTTGTAAGCTTTGACCAAGCTAAATAGTAAAATTACCATTTAGCCCTCCTAAGTTCTTATTCTTTTTATTGAGTCTTGCCATCACTTTCTAAATTCTAATTTTTCTTCTAATTCCTTCCTTGACATGTGTATAAACACAATATAAAGTCCACACCCCATTAGTGTGTCACCATAATATTTAAATATATACTTACCCGATTGTGCTATATTTCATAAAAGTACGCGGGTTCCCTCTAACCTCATTGTTTTCTTCTAAATTTCCTCTTTTCTTTTCCTCCTCCACTTAGATTAGTCATATAACCCTCTATTTTAACTAATTTCACTGATAAATAAGATATTAATATTTTAATATTATTTTATTCATTTAATATTATTTTATTTAAAAATATTCGTTCTACCTATCACCGTTTTCTAACACTCAAACTTACATCAAATAGCCTTTATTCTCATCAATAGAGTCTCATCAACCTTTAAATAAGGATACGGGGTGTTACAATCTCCCCCATTTAAGACAAATTCGTCCTCGAATTTAAATGGGATGAATTGATAAAACATACCTTAATCTTGAAAAAGATATGGATATTTTTTCCTCATTTCCTCTTTGGGTTCCCTAATTGCCTCCTCCACTTACCAGTTTAGCCACAAAATTTTTTCCGAGGCAACCTCCTTGGAGTGCAGTCGTTTTACTTGACGATCCAGTATTGCCACTGGCTACTCTTCAAATGTCAGTCTTTCACCCAATGGTACTCCTTTCATAACGTATAATATGCGTCGGATCCTTAATGAACTTCCTCAACATGGACACATGGAAGGTAGGATTTACTTGAGCCAATTCCACGGGTAAAGCTAA